CGGAGCAGGTCGCCCGGGAAAACGCGCGGAAAGGTGGCGCGGGCCGTCCTTGGAGGAGGGGCTGCTGGGAAGGGTCCTCCTCCCGGGGACGGGCAGCGCGGCCCTCCTGCCTCTGGGCTTGGCCCCTTCGGGGCGCCTTCCCCAAAGAGCTGTTCCTTCGGGGAAATCCAAGGCTGCGGGGCCGCTCAACGCTGCCTGGCGGCCGCGTTCTTCTTTCTTACCTGCGGACTGTTAGGGCGAGCCCCCCGCGAAGCCTGAAAGGGAGCGAAGATGCAGGGCTTCCCCCGGGACTGATGGAGGGCGCAGCCTTCGGGGGAATTCACGTGGCGGAGATTGCGCGCCCGAAGCAGGGACTTTTCACTGGTGGGACAAGCCGGAAAATCGGTAACATAGGAGCGCCGTAACGCCCTCCCCCGGCACACAGAGACGCCCCGTTGCGGCTCTATTTATCAAGGTCAACAAGAAGAAAACTTTCGGGGGCAGCGAGGAACTCCCATCCTTGCTAGTGTTTGGCCACGCCGCGCCCTGCACCCCCGAGGGTAGGTGGGAGGGAGGGGAAGGCGGAAGGAACCCCAAAGGGGGGGGGACTAGGGACGGCCTGCCCTGTTGATGTGGGCTGCCCCTCCACCACTAACCATAAAGAGCTGCCGGACGCGGGAGCCCGCTCCCGCCGGCCTCTCGCTTTCTTAAGGCGGGAGCGCACGCAGCCTCCTGAGCAAGGCGGGGGCAGCAGGGCAAGGGTCCTCCGCTTTCCGTCACCCACCCAGTGCGCAAGAGCCCGCCGTTGAAATCCGCCTCCTGGCACCAGCTTTGCGTGAGGACGGATGGCCAGCCTGGGGCGCCTGGGAGTCGAGGCTGGGGAAGCCAAGGAGAGCTGCGCTCTGCTGCTCTCGCCAGGGGCGGGGGTGATTTTTGGCCGGAGGGGATACCTGGAGTCCACGCTTAGAGGAACCCGAGGGGTTGGAAGAGGAAAGGGTCTGGCATATCCCGTGCCGGCAGATGGGACGCAAGACCGCCTGTCTTGGAAGCATCAGCTAAGGAGTTCTTGGCTTTCCAAGCCACAAGATGAGGCGGGGGGAGGACTGTGGGCGGCAGAAACGAGACCTGAGACCGAGGCTCCCAGATCAGCCCCTCAGCCTGAGAAAGGCAGATGATCTAGGGAGGCCCCAGAGGTAACGGGAGCGTTGCCTTCGGTCACAGGCACTCCACGGACACACCCCAGCAGTTTTCCTGGCAGAAGTGCAGAAGTGCAGGACTCCCTTCAGCTCCCTTTCCAGCCGCCAAGTCAAACCCGGGGCCGCCCGGCGGACAGCGTAGGAGGGACTCGCCTGCCACCCGGTGGACGGACCCGGGACTGTGCCTACGCCAGGGCTAGTCCGGTCTCCGGGGGGCGACGGGTCCACAGTTTAGCTCCGAGGACAAATCCCGCGCTGAGGACGGGAAGGCTGCAGATTGAAAAGTCCACCTGCGGGACATCTCCGGTGGCGCTCCCCGCTCGAGGGAGGCCGCCCAGTGCCAGGGTCGGCGCACGAGGACATACTCGTCCCCTTCCCGAAGACGCGGCGTGCTCGGGGAGGGAAAGATCGGCGCTGGGTCTCTGCCCCCAGGCGCTTACAATCTGCGTTTCGAACCCAGCTGAAACCAAGCGAAGGGAGAGGCAGCCCTAGGGCTGGCTGAGCATGATGGGAGTTGCAGTACAGGGCGCCCGGCCGGGAAGCTGCGAGGCTGCCTCGCTGGTACCGCAACCGGGCCGGCGGCGGCGGCGGGGTGAGG